TACCTGTTGTAGACCTATCCAGCAACAATTAATTAACATCTACATATTGTAAACATGCCCATGTATGATTGATTAACACCTGCATGTTGTAAACCTACCCATGTAACATCGTTTAACACCTAAAGGTTATAAACCTTCCCATTTATGACTTTTAAACCCTATAGGTTGCAAGCCTGTCCATGTATTACCATAATTATCTAGAATAGTTTGTGGCCCATTCTATATACCCTCGTAGATGACTAATCTCTACTAGTACAATAACATCATGTTGTCTACAACCCATCATTATTCTATAACCCTTCACTACCCAATAAACTTTAGGTATAATAAGATAAATAGTTTAATACTTTATTTAAATCATATCATCTCATACTATATTATAATGGAAACATTTTTCCTTTCATCACATTCATTTGAAACTCCCATGCATTTTCCTTTCACCACATTCATTTGATACTCCCATGAATTTTCAATTTCTTTCTAATAATAATAATTTTACGTTGGTTAATAATGTTAAATAAATATCAAAACTAAAGTGTAATCATATATAAACAAATTATTATTATTAAAATGATATCTTTACTTTTAGTTATAAAGTTATGTTTTTTAACTTTTAACATATTATACTTGATTTATTAGTTTTAATATATTGTTGGATGTAAACCATTATCATTTTAAAGATACAATTTTGGAATAATTTGTATAAAATACTTAAATTATTAATTTAAATATAACATTACATGGTCAACTTAAATATAAAATTTAGTTTAACTTAAACAATCCAAAAAATATTTTGTAAATAGTTAAAAGTGATAAATTGTAGTGTCTTTCTAATAATGATTATAAGTTGGTTAATAAGGTTAAATAAATATCAAACCTAAAGTGTAATCATAAATAAACTAAATTTCAATTTTAAAAGAATATATTTACTTCAACTTATAAAGTTATGTCTTTAACTTTTAACATATCATACGTAATTTATTAGATTTAAATTGTTGTTGTATGTAAACCATTATCAATTTAAATCTATAATTTTTGAACAATTTAGATAAAATACTTAACTTGTTAATTTAAATATAACATTGCATTGAAATCTACATATAAATTTCAGTTCCACTTAAAAAACCAAAGAATATATTTTGTAAATAGTTAAAAGTGATAAATTGTAGTGATAAATACAAAATCTAAATTGTAATCTTAATTTAACTAAAATATTTCCTAAAGATATTTTTATAATCGTTAAAAGTTTTCAAATAAGTAGCTTAAAATAACTTACAATAACAATAGTTAAAAATAACTCTATATAATGATTACAATGTCACATTTAAAATCAAAAAAACAATGTTTGTTGTTTTCAATAATTATAATGATAGAAATTAAAACATTAAGCAAATAATTTTTAAAAAATTAATTAACAATAACGACAACTATAACTAACGTTAAAATATATATTATATTTAATTTTATTTTCGTGTAACTTGCAGGTAGAAGTCATTCAAACGATTGAAATTATGCAGTTATAATATATATATATATATATATATATATATATATATATATATATATATATTCGAAATAATCAATATTATATCAATTTAATATATGAATTATTATATCAAATTTTATAAAAACGTAATTGTTATATTTAATATATATATATATATATATATATATATATATATATATATATATATATATATATATAAACACTTCAACTATATAAGTGTTTTACGCAACGTGCGGTCATTCGCCTAGTATAGTGTAACCAACTAAGTAATATTCACAAATATTGCAAATATATAATATAAGTAGTTAATTACTTCATATCTATGAATAAGATGAAAGTAACTATGCATTCACTAGTTAAAAGTGGATGACTCAAATCTTGGGCAATGTATTGCCTAGCACTTTAGCTTTTTCTTTGATATGACCTAAGTATGAACATCACTAAGTCTTAGTCTTGTATTCGTAGTGACTAATGATAGTCTATATTCTTCACTAATCCTAATGTCTTCATCAATATTTATCAAGTAAGGAACAACCAGGTAAGATCATATTGAAGGTATGGTCCGTTTGGTATACAAAGTATACTGCATGGAAATCTTAATTTGAACACCTCACTACATCTAGCATAGACATCATTTCCATAAGTAGATCAATCACTATCATGACTTGGATTCATTGATAAATCTTATTTTTAAATTCAAAATAACGACTATAGGTATAAATATAAGTTACACTTGAATTAAGATAAAATTACATAAATTTTAGCGAAAATCGGAAAATTGCACAGGAAGAACTTCAACCTGAAAGCTTCTTTTCGTCTGGATCCTAGCTAATCCAGAGCCTAGCTAAAATGCTCAAAAGTCCGGAAAAGTTGGACTTTCAGGACCAGAGAGTTTTCAGAGAGAATTATAAGAATTAGGGAATTTGGAAGGGGCGTCGTGGCTATCAAGGAGCATATCGTGCACTTTCGTTGACGCCGCTCCTATGAAATGCTGCCATGTGTCAATCTCTTTGTGGTTCGCATCATCTACTTCTAGAATGTGTGTGTGCTGTGCCAAGCACCACATGCATAAATTTATAGTTTTTCAAAACTTCATATCTTCTTTGTAGAATATTCATTTTCGACGTTCTTTATATCCACTTCACGTGTATCTATCGATGAGTACTACAAATATCGTTTAGGCTCTGTCGACTAATTCTCAATTTATTTTTAAAGTTATATATTTAACAAGCTTAGACTGTTAAAGTTTGTATAAAAATCATAACTCTTTCATATGACATCAGTTTTTTTACTGTCTCTACATCAAAGGACTCCTAATCAAGAGATCTTAAACTATCGATTATAATGTTTTTCCTAACAATCAACTGATTTGAATTTCGATTTCGGTGTTAACATAGCTGCGCTGAAACTTCTAAAAATCATAACTTCCTCATATGATGTCAAATTTGGACATTCTATATATGATCGAGTTTGCTTTAATGATTACTACGAATTTTATTTAGATTAATTTGGCTAATAAGCAAGTTATCTTCGATCCACTTTTTATGTCACGCATAGCTGTGTCAGTTTAATCACGAAACTTCGAAGAAATATTACTTCTTCATACGAAGTCGGATTTAAGAGCTCCTTATATCTACAGAATCAACATCACAACTACTACAACTTCATCAAGATTATTTATGCTAAATAATCTTCTATTGAAAACGTTATTTTATCGCTTATCGACAAATCTACCAAAATGCTTATAATATGTAGTCTACAACACATATGACTAACAAGTTCCATATTCAAGTGTTTTAAATTATAATATTTATTACTTATTATATTCCATTTGTCTTAACCGAAATTACAGGCATTATAGTTATATTCATAGTAATTTGTAACATCAAAATTAAACTAAACATTTGGCATATAATTCTATTATCAACTATCTATAAAGCACCTATTTTATGTTAAAAATATTTTGCCAATCCAAATATATAAACAAGATGTCATTATATTAAGAAACTAATGATTTGGTAAGATAGAATGAGACTTTTTGATCTATCCCAATTGAAGTTAATGTTCCCTAGTTGAAAGATTGTGGAACAAAAATCTCTGTTTTTGTAAGATTAGCAAACATAGATTTGTAAAGATTCCTCTTGGAATATGGATTATTCTTTTGGGAACTTCAAAATTTGTTGATCACTTGTCTGTTAATAACTCAAATAATTTAGAATGCAATTAAGAAATTAAGATTTGTTTTGATTAAAAATCCCAGCACGATGATAAAGGATCGTGGTGCTATTTTTGTCGAAAAAAACATTTCACAAAATTTCAAGTTTAGTCAGTTTAATCTTAATACAATTCGGTGCTTCTAGAATAAAACCAATTACTCTTTTGTAACAAAGAATTTTTTTAGAGCACAAAACTTGCTTTTGACCCTAAAAACAATTAATTAGAGAGGTAGGTTTGCATCCATATATTTAACATTTAAATAAAAGCATAAAGAGATGTTTGAATCATACCTTGGATAAGAATGGGTGTTTCTTTTGGGAAGAAAATTTTTATCTTGTAAGAATGAATGAGAGAATGATGAAAAAAGTGGAGAAAAATAATAAAAACATAATTGAAAGACCCTCGCTTTCATAATTGAAACATTATTGAAACATTATTACTCCAAAACATGTTACATGCATATTCACAGATAATAATTTACATTGATAATTTTTATTTACAAACGACTGAATACAAACCAACTATTACAAAGTGTTGTACGTTACATAACTACCCATGATACTATAGTTTTATACACACATAAGTACAAAATACAATAGTTTCAAACTATTTAAAATCTTCTATCAGTATATAACTATATTGATTGCTTATCTCCTGCAATTGTTAAACATTGAGAGGGTAAGCAGTGACGCTTAGTGAGTTCAATAATGGATACAATATAACATTATGCCATATATATATATATATATATATATATATATATATATATATATATATATATATAGACACACACACACACACACTTCAATATGGCAGAAGCAAAGAGGAACAAGGAGTAACAAAGGCATATGTGAATCATGCAATCACTACTAAAAAAACAGCCTTTTACGACGCTCATTGTGCGTTGTAAAATGCTCAGACGACGTGCAAATGCGCGTCAAGGAAGGCTCGTCATAACGAGAGACGACGCGCTTTTGCGCGTCCTCTATAGATGACTCGTATTTACGACACGCATTTATGACACGCAATTCGTCTCATTGAAGTTGCTGTCAAGAAAGGCCATGTCATAAATGAAGATGACACACGTTTTTGCGTATCGTAATTTTAATTTTAAATTTTTTTTTATAGATTTCATAATTTTCAAATTAAATTTGCATTTCATGTCTCATAATAAAAAATAAAACACCATATAAAAAAAATATAATACATTGCACAAAAGTTAATGTCATACAAATAATCATTCTAATAGTAGACAAATAGATAAATCTCAAAGGGTTCAAAAATATGCTTGTCTTCTAATAGAACTTATACACAAGAAAGTACTAACTTTGCTATTAAACTTATTTACAAGAAGAAGGTGTTTGAATTCAGAAAAGGTCTTAGCAACTGAATTGGCCCCGGAAGCTTGTGGTTTGACTGCAATTGAACCCAAAAGAACTAGAGTCTCAGGAAAGCATATTGGCATATAGTAGAAACAAAGCCCCTCTAATAAGATAAATATGATTGGAGAAAAAGCTTTGTACCATACATGAAACCCATTCAGCAATGACGGATAATAAAGATCTTTAAAGTCCTCAAGGGGTTGTGAAATTAATGCAAATATCCGTTTCACTGCCAAGTGTTGCAAACCTCCATCTGTAATAAGTGTGAATGAAAGATTCAAACTTTCCAAATTCACCAAACCTGCAACAATCAAGATCATGTAAAGTCAACTCCAAGTCAAAGGGTCAAACAAGATTGGATCATGATCAAATATACTATTAACCAAAGAGATGGCGAAGACCATTGTTTCCAACTTCTGTATCAGACAACTCTAAACATTTCAAATGAACAAGGCCTGAAACACACACACACACACATCAAATTATCAACATATGGATATGGATACATCAATATATAATAAAGATGATTGTTAACAGAATTACCTGCTAAGTGAACAAGTCCTTTATACCCAATTCTACATGAATCCGGATTCAAGCTCTCCAAATTTATCGAACCTGCATTTGTAAAAGTTTGTGTGTATGAACTTTTGGAAAATACACATGAATATTAAGTACATATGAATGTTAAGAGTTCACCTTTTAGGTGTGACAAGATAGCATCTGACATATCATTGAATCCCAAGTTCAACGCTTTTAGAGACTTCAATTCTGTATAAGTAGACCTCCATAGTTATAAATTAATGATTTTTAAGATAAATTAATGAAAAAAATAAATATAAGGATACAAATCCTTACTTGAAAACTTGTCACACCCATCATCAGTGATATTAAATCTGCTTACATTCAGAAAAAGTAGAGCAACAAGATCTACATAAAACAAACGAGTGAAATAAAAAAGTCAAACATCTAGTTGTATAATCATATTACAAAAAAGAAAATAAAATGAGAACGTGAAAGTGAATCTAGGCATGATGCAGTAATAGGGCAACGTTCCATATTCAGCAATGCAAGCTTGTGTAAACTTGAAAAAAGTAAATTTACTTAGATTTTAATTTACATAAAAAAATATCTTTCACTAGAAATAATTCAAGTGACCTTTCAAGAATGTGACACCATTATCTGTGACCTTGCTACTGGAGATTTGTAATTCTTTCAAGTTTCTTAGGTATGAAACATAAACAATAATGAATCATCAGCATAAACAATACACCATATTTAAATTCTTTCAAGTTTATAGTAAAGTTTATATTACAAAGCTACTAGAGAGAGGCTTCATATCAGCATCGGTAATGCAATTACAATAGTTCATATTAAGTGCCTCAAGCTTTTTTAAACCTTCCATATATTCATTATACTTGAATATCTAATTCTAATTATTGAATATTAATTATGAGGTACAAGAAAAAAGACCTCTTAAATGGACAAGGCCACCATGGATTCCAGAACATCTTATGAGGTCCAACTTTGACAAATTGACCAACCCAGAAAGCACACTCAATCCTTTTGTAGTGATGTTTGTGTTCCTCTTCAAACTTAAACTTGTCAAGTTTGAAAGACCTGAAAAAAAATTATTAAGATTGTTTCCTTCAAATTCAATAAAGAATCATTACAAGAGATTACCAGTAATGTATTCAAGCCTAACATCAGAGATATGTTCACAGAAATTAAGGTTTCAAGCCTCAACATTCTTGCATTCTTTAATATGTAGCAAACCAGAATCTGTAACATCAGAACTAGAAAGATCTGCAGAAAGTAAAGATGATCCCTATGAACAGATGTACGAATAGAGTGCAACAAGCACTTCATTACTCTTCTCTCTACTAAGAACCTCAATGATTGCACACCCTTGTGCTTCAGTCTTCTTACAATAATAATAAAAAAGAAACAAATTAAAATGATAAACTGTATAAATAATAGAACAAGATATTTTTAAGTATGAAACTAACTAGCAAACCTCCATTTCAGTAAAAGTGATCCATCTTTCATCGAAATCAGAAACTAACTAGACCTAAAGATCCACCAAAGGAATCTCCAACCAGATAAATTAGCTTCTTTGAAGATGAAGCATGTCTAAGCCTCACAGTTTCTTAAACAAATTGCATTAAATCTTCATACAACAAAAAATAGTGAATAAAATAGCTTCTAGTAATGTGTGAGTATATAAAAGCATATTAAAAATAGTTTCCAAATAGGTGTAAGCAGCAGAACAGGGGAACCTACTTTCTGGTAACACCAATGGCTCCTAAGTGACTGTATACTTCCTTACAATCAAGAATATATCATAAGAAGGAAAGACACAAGTTGAAAGAGGATTGGATAGTGGTCCTTGTGTAGAGTGACTACAACATAAATCCTGAGTTTTTCACCAAAAGCATGTTGCCTTAGCTCACGGTATCTGTCAAATCTTTTTCCTGGAACCATTTCGTGTCATTTCCACCATTTGCCATAGTGTGTAGAGTTTAATCAACCAGGATAGGACTAGTACTGTGATTCCAAAGCCCCCTGAATCAAACAGATTGTATATTATGAAAGTGGATTTTGTGTGGGGATTTTCATCGAACATGTTGTGTGAATCGTTTAAACCAAAAAAGAATCTTACAGAGAAGACTTGGATTGAAGGAAAAGTGATACCATCCGAGTTGAGATAGGGAGTAAGGAAGACTGAGGACACCGACACCAACCATGGCGGTGACATTGTGAAAGGCTGAGTATCACCACTTTGCGTTTCTGGAGGATGTCACTGGAAAGAAAAAACTATTTGAGTCTTTTGCACTACCAGGCTCTAATTCCATGATTTTAACAAACTAATTCTCGGATTTGACCGTCAGGAAATCATTTGAAGCTTAATGATGAGCTCTTACCTGTTGTAGCGAAGGAGATGCATGCAGAGTCTCGTTGACGGGCGGCTCGTAGGTCAGCAATGGTGGCGGAGAGGAGATATGGGTCGGAGGAGAAGGTGTTTAGGACAAGATCGCAAAGGAGGGTGGAGGAGTAGATTTTGTTTCGTAAATGTATATATATATATATATATATATATAGAGAGAGAGAGAGAGAGAGAGAGAGAGCGTGTGAGAGATGAGTGGGAGATGATGGTGGAGTAGTGGTAACTGGAGAGGGATGGTTCAGATTTGGCGTCACGGCGAGCTTCGGCTTTGATTTCGTTCCAGACCCAGTCGCATTCGTTTTCTCTGCATTCGACGACGGTTTGTGGAGATGATCATGACATCGTGTTCTGCAATGTGGCGTTCCGATCTTGAACTGACATCTTGAGATGGCGGAAGTATTTGCGTAGGCACTTCGAACTCTTAAAGCTTATGAGGTTCGATGCTGGTGGTGGCGGCTTAGGGCTTTCAAATAGAAGATATATATATATAGAGAGAGAGAAAGAGAGAGAAACAGAGAGAGAGAGAGAGAGAGAGAGAGAGAGAATGCAAAGGCAATGGAAGACGAGCTGCTTAAAGGATTATTAGGGTTTTTGGTAGAGGATTTTAGAAAGAAAAGAAGGACATGCATCAAGCGGGGTGTTTAATTTTTTAGGATTTCATTCCCCAAGAGAACGCGCGCGCCTTCCTTAAAAAATATAAAGCGACACATTTACACGACGCCCTTTTTTATGATAGGTGTCCTCCTTGTTTATAATTTTTTTGTTGGACACTAATTTTAGGGCACGAACTAATGCCTGTCCTTTATCCTTCAAATTTTGCAAAACTGACATTATTGTTTAGGGCACACACAAATTCGCGTCCTCTATCAACAAGTAATATTTTTTTTTTGCGTCATTAAAGGGTTGTTTTCTAGTAGTGGATAAGCTTTCCATATCAATCGATGATTTGATTCAATGATATACAATCAATGAGACATAAAAATTTCAATATTTGATATACATCAATAACGCTTCGACCCAAATGTAACAGAAGACATACAATTTCTGATTAAACATTTTAGTAGATTTCAGGCTTTCAGCTCTATCTAAAGTTCTGCCAATACCATAGAATAGAAGTCATTCACTTACGAGACATTCTCTACATGGCCGGAGGCTACATACCAGTACCACTGTGAATCTAAGTCCTTTCACTGATCACATGGTCAAAGGTATAAGTTTGCTACCAATATAGCATGGAATAACAACACGAGATAATAATACGAAAAAGCACGTAGCACATATAACACATAACATACAATATTTCCTATGTATTGAACTCATTGTGAAGTCACCGGGGAATAAATGATAATTTGGGCAGCACTTTGGCTCTAAATATGACTTTTTGTGATGAAACAGTGGATTTTAGTTGAAAACCGACCTTACTCGGGTAGAGTTTCAACTTGAAAATATAATTTTCTCGGGAACTCCAGAGCGTCGGGACTTGCTTCGAGTATCAGGAATGATATCGGGGCTTCCGGGCGTGGGGGGGGGGGGTTGGGGGGGGAGGTGTTAGGGTAAATTAGGAGAGAGTAGATGGTGAAAGATGTAAGAAAATGTAACGAAAATTCGGAGACCCTCAATTTCTATTTATAGTGTGCGAAGCTGTTGACTACATTGGGTGTAAGTCCTCGGTACGCTAGGTGTATTACGAGGCGGCTCGATACGCGGGTTGTACATGCAAGGTGTTGTATAATCGGAACTCGGGCTTGGATGTGGCAAGATTGTGCTATGTGTGTCACCTCGTGCGAAGAGAGAAGGACGTGGCCAACTCTGACTGTGCATGCGAACGTTGGGCGTTCCCCCTTCGGACCATTTTCGAAGTTTGTGCTAAAAACTTCAAAAAATTGTATCTTTTGCGTACAAACTTGGTTTAAACGTTATTTATATGCACACGTAGGTAAAATTATGCTCTACCACTTTCGTTTAGATTTCGTCGGCAAATTTTGACTTTATTTTTAATATTATTATTTTTAGAAGACGGGGATAGGAAAATCCGTTAAAAATTCATAACTTCTTTATTTGATGTCCGTTCTCATCTTTCTTTTTACTGTTGTGTTACTATTGATGAGATATTCGATTCTCGTTTAGGTCGTGTGGGCTAAAAATCAATCGATCTTTATTTTGAGTTTTTAGCTGTCTACAACTATATCGAAACTTAGAAAATTCATAATTTCCTCATACGAAGTAAGATTTGGACGTTCTTTTTATAAAAATTCTCTGTTTAACGAATGCTACAACTTTCATTTAGATTATATAGGCTAAAATGTGGTTTATCGAAAACTCACTTTTTACGTCATTTAGCGTTGTGCTGGTTTTGTCACAGATCTTCGATTGGTCATAATTTTTTCGTTATAACTCGGATTTCGATGAGGTTTTCTCCTAAATGGTCTAATAAAATTATCTACAAGTTTCAATAATAAAATTCAACTTATTTCATATTTTATATATTTTCGTAAAATTTCAATATATGACTTTTGATTGGAATCTAATAAGACTTCTAATACTTTCTCTAAACATAGTTTTACTTTAATTCTAGTAAAAACTATCTTGTTTGAAATCAATACTCTTAAACATATAATATTTCATAATATTATTCACTTTTTAAAATTACAAAACACAATTTCAAAACATGTATGTTACAAATACCTCATCCTTTTCAGAATTTCGTCCCCGAAATTACATGGATTAAAACAAATGAGGATATTTCGCTCTTATCTCATTCTTATTTTCCCAAGTATAATTTGGGACTCGATGGTGTTTCCACTTGACGAGCACTAACTCTACTTCTTTATTACGTAGCTCAATCGTTCTTTCATTTACGATCTCTTCACGGTCTTCCACATATCTTAATTTATTATCGAGTTTCACCTCGAATAACGGGACTGTTTCGTCATAAATGCTCAAGCATTTACGCATATAACTTACATGAAATACATCATGAATACCTGCCAAATCCTCCGGTAATTCCAAGCGGTATGCTTATTTACCAATCCTCTGGATGATTTTGAAAGGACCAATAAATCTAGGACTTACTTTTCCTTTCTTCCCAAATCGCATAATGCCTTTCCGTCGGGATACCTTCAGCATTACGAATCACCCACCTATAATTCTATGGGTCGTCTCCTCTTTTCTACATAAGACTTCTATCGATCCTGGGCCGCTTTCATTCTATCTCGTACGGTTTGAATCTTGTCGGTGGTGTCTTGAATCATTTCAGGGCATCCAAGGATTTTTTGTCCTATATCACGCCAACATAAAGGAGTACGAAATTTATGACCATATAATGCTTCATATGGTGGCATTTTGATTGAAGTGTGGTAACTATTATTATACGAAAATTCGACAAGAAGTAAGTACTTATCCCAGTTACCACCGAACTCAAAGATACATGCACGACGCATATATTCTACTGTTTGGATCGTTCACTCCGTTTGACCATCTGTATGGGGCTGATAAGCTGTACTGAGAGCAACTCGAGATCCCAATTCACGTTGCATGCTCGCCTAAAAATGAGAAGTGAAGCGAGTATCATGATTGGAAATAATCCTTAGTGGCACACCATGTCTTGCAATAATTTCATCCAATTACACTTGTGCGTATTTCTCCATTGGAACCGTTTCATGCATGGAGAGAAAATGTGCACTCTTAGTTAGGCGGTCTACAATTACCTAAATGTTATCATGTTGTCTAGAAGTCTTTGGAAATTTGGTAATGAAATCCATGGACAAATCTTCCCATTTCCATACAGGAACACTAAGACTTTCTGGGGTTCCGTAACACTTTTGGTGTTCTCTTTTGACTTGTAAGCATACTAGACATTCCTGCACATGTCTTCCAATGTCTCTCTTTAATCCAGGCCACCAATAATCAGCTAGTACATCATAGTACATTTTACTTTTACCAAGATGTATTGATAGTTTAGATTTAGGGGCTTCATCCAAAATATTATGTCTTAATCCGCCAATATTTGGAATCCATACTTTTAATCCTCGTGGATCATCAAGTAAAACATCAGCATGATGTACCACCCCTTCTTTCTTCACATTTTCTGACTTTAAGGCCTCTATTTTCCATTTCTCTAGTTCATCAAGAGTAGTGAACGTTAATGTAGTGGACTAATAGCATAACACATACTATTACGATAAACTTATCTGCTAAGTGCATCAACAACTACATTGGCCTTTTTAGGATGGTATAGGATTTCACAGTCATATTCTTTGATCAGCTTCATGGCTCGCTGTTGTCTCATATTTAAAATTTGTTGATTGAATATATACTTGAGAATTTTGTGGTCGGTAAACAATTGGCATTTTGTACCAAAAACATAATGCCTCTAAAGTTTTAAGGAAAATACTATGACAACGAGTTCGAGGTCATGGGTGGGATAATTCTTTTCATACTCTTTCAGTTATTTTGAGGCATAAGCTATCACTTTACCATGTTGCATCAACACACAACCGAGTCCCAACCTATAAGCATCACTATACACGGAGAAATCATTATCACCTTCTTGAAGTGATAAGATTGGAGCATGAGTCAAAATATCTTTTAGAGTTGAGAAAGCTTTTTCTCGGGCTTCTCCCCATTCGAACTTTGTTTCCTTTTGTGTAAGACTTATGACGGGTACAACTATACGGGAAAAGTCTTTAATGAACCTTCGGTAATATCCCGTGAGACCCAAGAAACTATGAATTTCAGAAGGATTATAGGGCACTTCCCAATTCTTAATGGTTTCGATTTTGGTAGGATCTACGGATACAC